TAATCTTCACACAACCCATGTAATATATAAGGGACAGAGATAGATAGTTGGCTTACACTCGCCACTTCACACAATTACATGAATAAAGCATTACATCATCCAAATACAATCAAGGCTCGACTACGGAGCCAAAATAAAAGAAGACTACCCCAAATGCTACACAGATTCCCGATCGTCCTGACTGGGCTCCACTACTGATCAACTAGAACGAAACAACACAAAGGACAAGATCTTCATCGAGCTCCTCCTTGAGCTTGGTTGCGTCACCTGCTCGGTTCAACGGCACCTGCAAACTGGTTTTGGAAGTATCTGTGAGTCACGGGGACTCAGCAATCTCACACCCTCGCGATCAAGACTATTTAAGCTTATGGGTAAGGTAAGGTATGAGGTGGAGCTGCGGCAAGCGACTAGCATATATGGTGGCTAACATACGCAAATGAGAGCGAGAAGAGAAGGCAAAGCACGATCGAGAAACTATGATCAAGAAGTGATCCTAGAACAACCTACGTCAAGCATAACTCCAACACCGTGTTCACTTCCCGGACTCCGCCGAAAAGAGACCATCACGGTTACACACGCGGTTGATGTATTTTAATTAAGGTCAACTTCAGGTTTTCTACAACCGAACATTAACAAATTCCCATCTTCCCATAACCACGGGCACGGCTTTCAAAAGTTTATAACCCTGCAGGGGTGTCCCAACTTAGCCCATCACAAGCTCTCACAGTCAACGAAGGATATTCCTTCTAGCGGGAAGCCCCGATCAGGCTTGGAATCCCGGTTACAAGACATCCTCGACAATGGTAAAACAAGTCCAGCAAGACCGCCCGATGTGCCGACATCTTGATGGGAGCTGCACATATCTCGTTCTCAGGGCAACACCGGATGAACACTACGTATATCTAAAACCATCCCTCAAGTTTCCTCGAGGTGGCGCCGCAAGTGGCTCTGTTTCGGACCAACACTTAGACAAGCACTGGCCCGGGGAGTTAAAATAAAGATGACCTTGGGTTGGCCTAACCCAAGGGAAAATGTCTAGGTGGCGAAAGGTAAAACCAAGGTTGGGCCTTGCTGGAGGAGTTTTATTCAAAGCGAACTGTCAAGGGGTTCCCATTATACCCAACCGCGTAAGGAACGCAAAATCCGGGAACATAACACCGATATGACGGAAACTAGGGCAGCAAGAGTGGAACAAAACACCAGGCATAAGGCCGAGCCTTCCACCCTTTACCAAGTATATAGATGCATTAATTAGATAAGAGATATTGTGATATCCCAACAAGTAAACATGTTCCAACAAGGAACAATATCTCCATGTTCAAACAAGGAACAAACTTCAATCTTCACCTGCAACTAACAATGCTATAAGAGGGGCTGAGCAAAGCGGTAACATAGCCAAACAACGGTTTGCTAGGACAAGGTGGGTTAGAGGCTTGGTTCAACAATATGGGAGGCATGATAAGCAAGTGGTAGGTATCGCAGCATAGGCATAGCAAAAGAGCGAGCAACTAGCAAGCAAAGATAGAAGTGATTTCGAGGGTATGGCCATCTTGCCTGAAATCCTGCAAGGAAGAAGAACGAGTCCATGAAGAAGACAGCCGGACGTAGATGAGCGGATCCTCACAACTCCGAAACGAAAAACGAAGATAATGCGAGAAGTAACCCGGAAAGGAGCAAATAACATAGTAAATAAACATCACATAATCATGGCATGATGCACAATCAAGTATGATGCATGTCCGGTTTAAATATGCATGGCATGGCAAAGTGCACAAACAATCCTACAAATTAAGTGGAGCTCAATATGCAACTCCGTTGCATATTGACGAAACACCACATTCAAGTTATTTAGTTCGATCTCGTTTATGTACCCAACAATATTAAATGTTGTTGGCATGGTAAGAGGGTGAAGCAAAATAAAACTACCTATCTAGTCAAGTTTAAATGAGGCCGGAAGCAACAAACAACAATTTCGGTAAATCCCCATATGCATATATTAGGTTTGATGCTGTTCTGCCCTAAACTAAATTTTATAGTTGTTAAACATGCAAAGTGATGCCACCATGTTAAACTAGGCATTTTTCTACCCCATTTACATATAAAGTTTGTTAAGTTTGGAGCTACGGTTATTTAGTTATGAATTAAAGCATTTTAACATGACATAGGAGCAAATTTAATCAAACAGCATTTTAAACATTTCAAACATGGATGAAAGTTGCATATTATTAAACTAGACAAAATTCTAAGCAACTTTCATATATAATTTATTTAGATCTGATGCACGGTTGTGAAGTTATTAAATGCATGAAGAAAAGGGGCTTTTCTGTAAAAAACCACAGTATCTGGAAAATGATAAAATCGCACAAAGGAAAAAAACCTATGGGCTGAAACAGAGGCCGGCCCAACATTGCACAGGGGCTCGGGTGCTGCTCACCATGGGCCAAAGGCCCAGATCTGTGGAGGTGGGGACTGGGCCTCGGTCAACGAACGAAGAGGAGGCAGCCCAGGCGCGTGGAGGTGCGGTCAATCCGGTCGAGCGGGGCGGTGAGCTGCTCTTCTCGTTCTGAAGAAAAACTGCAGCGACAGGTTCAGGGCGACGCAGGCGCCGGGGAGGTTCTGGCGACGGGGTCGACGGGAACCGGCGGGTATGCGTCGGAGATGGCCGGATCTGGTGTCCAATCGGGTCAGGGAGGCGAGGTGGCATCGGGCGAGCTCCAGCTCGTTGCAGGGGATGCAGGAGCGACAGGGACTTGGCGAGCAGCGCAGGTGGTCTCCTGTGGACGGCGCGGCGCCCTGGAGGCGGGGACGAGGCTGAGGACACGGGCCACGTCGGATTCAGCCGGCGGGAGCCCATCTCCGATGATGGTGGCGCCGGCTGGTGCTCCTGTTCGAGGCAAGGACAGGGAGAGAGAGAGAGAGATAGTCAATCAAAGAAGCCGAACGAAAAATGGGAAGAAGAGAGAAGGCGAGGGTGGCAGGCGCGCAAGGAGGAGGCAACGGGCGCGCTGGCGGCCCTACTACTCGGGTGCTGGTCACGGCAGAGGCTCGGGGCAGAGGAGGAGCACGGCGAAGTCGAGACAGAGGCGGGATCGGGCAGAGGAGGTGCCCATGGCGTTGGACTTGGCGTCCTGCAGGTCCGGCAGGGATGGCGACCTTGATGCAGGGGAGAGATGGAGGCGTGGATTCGGTGAGGCGGCGGAGTTCCTTCGGCGGCCATGGCGCCTGGCGTGCTCCCTCTTGCAGCTGTACAGAGAGAAAGAGAGAGATGTGAGAGGAGGGAGTAGAGGCAGGGAAGGAGAAGGAAAGGAGCAGGGGAGGTCTGGCTATGGTCTCGGTGGTTGGCACCGGTTGGGAAGCGAAGAGCAGCGGAGATCGGCGAGGTGTGTGGGTTTGACGATGGGGATCTGGGAGGATCCTGAGGTGGGAGGAGGTGGTTGTGGTCTCGGTGGTTGGCTGAGTGGGGATTGAGAGGTAGTGTGTGGTTGGTGCAAAGGGGATCCCGAGGTGGGAGAAAAACAGTGGCGGCGGAGGAGGATTTGATGGATGGGACATCTCCCTAGATTTTAGGGTTTGGTCCTCTTATATATAGCAAAAGGATTAAAGGAGAGGGATTTGGATCATCGGATCAAAATCCAACGGACGAGAATAAAATAGGTAGGGATTCCAAATAAGGAAACGGTGATGTTTTGTAGATGTTTGGGGATGTTCTGGATCCAACGGTGACGACAGTCCGGGTCGGGTTCGGGACAACTTTCGGACGCGTGCGAGGGGGGCTGCGGGCTGATGAGAGAGGTTAGGTTGGACCTGGCGGTAGGTAGTGAGCTGTGTAGACGGTCTTGAGCTGAGAGAAGAGAAAAGAGGGAGGCCCGGCGACTGTTTTCGGAGACCGAAAACGTCCGACGAAGAGACCGGCTATACTGCCGATATAGTTATTCGTTGGGCTATCAAACAGACTCCAAATGCGATGAAACTTGACAGACGGTCTATCTACACTAAAATAAGACCGCACGCCAACTTTCAACCCATTCCGAGAATATTTTCTGGCCACTTATAAAATAATATTCGGACGTGCCGCGGGCGCGTGCGAGTGTGTCTGGGCTCAGAACGAACAACAGACGGAATTGGGGAACCCGGACGGATGCAAGTTTTGAAAACATGCAGATGCAATGCGGATGATGACATGGCAAGATGCGACACACAAGCAAATGACAAGGCAACAACAATGAAACACCGGAAGACACCTGGCGCAATGGTCTCGGGGTGTTACAATACCGATGATATGATTATTTTGATGGAACATCACCTGGACAAGGCTCGAAACTTGAAACTATTGCTTTCAACATTTGAGCAGATGTCGGGCCTCAAAATTAACTTCCATAAAAGTGAATTGTTCTGCTTTGGAGAAGTCAGTGTGGCAGCTGCTGATTACGCCGACTTGTTTGGTTGTGCGCAAGGCCCTTTCCCGATTAAATATTTAGGAATTCCGATTCATTATCAGCGTCCCACTAAGGCGCAGTGGAAAGATGTAGAGGAACGCTTGGAGAAATGGTTGAGCAGTTGGAAAAGCAAGTTGCTATATGTTAGATGACGGTTGGTCTTGATCAATTCTGTTCAAACAAATATGGTTCCCTAGATGATTTTTTTCAACTCCCAAAAGGGATCTTGCAGAGGCTGGATTAATTTCAGATCCAGCTTCTTTTGGCAACAAGACAGTGAAAAGAAAAAAGAACATGCTAGCCAAATGAAGCGTGGTTTGTAGGCCGAAAGACCAAGGTGGCCTTGGCATTCATGACCTTTAGGTCAAGAATGGTGCCTTACTTAGTAAATGGGTATTCAGACTACTTACTAAGGTTGACGTCTGCAAACCCTGTCGCGCACAAAGTATCTGGGTCAAAAATCGGTGTCTCAGATATATTGGAAACCTGGAGACTCACACCTTTGGGATGAACTAATGGGATCAAAGAAATATCTTTTCTTCTTTGGATCCTTCGCAATAAAAGATGGGTCGGAGATTCGTTTCTAGGTGGACAAGTGGCTTGGCAATGCTAGTCTTCGAGAATAATATCCTGCTTTATACCGCGTTGTCCACGATTCCCCGAGAACAATATCCCGCTTTATACCACATTGTCCTCGATAAGAATGATACTATTACACAGGTGCTTAGTTCATCCCCTCCAGATATTTCTCTCAGGCGGGATGTGATTGGCCCCGTCTTATGTCAAGGTAAAATCTTCTATCCCGATTGGAGTCGATTAACCCGACACATGGACGAGATGTGTTTCACCGGAATCTCACTACATTTGGTCTTTCACGGTTGACTCTATGTATCGGGCTTACGCATTCTGAGGTTCTAGTGGATAATAATAAGAAGAAAATTGAGAAGCCAAAGATTCCACTAAAAGTTGAAATCTTCACGTGGTATCTTTGAAGGGAAGTTGTACTAAGCAAGGACAACCTCGCCCGATGAGACAATCAAACACCCCATTTTTTTGGTGCAATTTTGCACATTCTAATGGTCAATCATCCAAGTAGCGTCTAATTTGTATTCGCCCATAAGTGTTGCCAATATTTTTTGATCATTGGTTGGACGATCCAAGTAGGTTCAAAATATTAATAAGGATGGGAGCCTATACCTGTTATGATTGCTTTGACTATGTAGAAAGGATTTGGTTTTTAATGACAAAAGTTGTTTTACTTTGCAGGTTATTCTCAGCTGTACGTACTCGCTTCATATACGGTCTATGCTATACCGATCAAAGTGTCAATCGTTGTTTATGACGGTGTGTACGCAGTTGGAGATGGTGATCATGGATGTTTTTATCTAACATGGATGGCAGCATAATCTCCAGATTAGTCCACCACCACCTTTAACATAGACATAGTGTGGTCATATGAATTTTATGTTGTTGATATGTCTTTTTTTATCAAAGTGTTGGTATTGGATGTGCCCATTCTAACTATGCAGAGGCTGGGTGTTGCCCATCATGGTTTGTAACCGCTTAATGCTACATTTTAAGTCAATAAAAATTGCTTTTTATCAAAAAATAAATATGTTGGCAAACCAATGGGATGAAAAGGATAATAAACAAAAGAGGAAAGAAATATCTGGGAGCAATTACTATCTTTTGGAGTATTTGAAGGAATGATTTGTGACCACATGTGCTTGGACCACTGCCCCCAATCTCCCAGCCCAACTGTCAGGAAGCAATTTATCAAGAACATCGAAGCCCCAATCGTGAGAGCCAAGCATCCAAATCAATTTCTCCACATCAGATTCAGATGGATTGATAGTTCGACACTCCCAACTATTCTTGTTTCCTTCCCCGAGCCAATGGCCGCCGTCGACTTACGCTTCCACCTCCATCCAGCCGCCTTCTCCTCTGTCCACCCGTCCAATTCAAGCGCCAAACCGCACCGCCATTGCCCACCTCAGAGGATCCATGCTGCAGCAAGAAGGTGCCTCCTCAGGGCGAAGTCTTCAAACGGGCACCCGCAGATCGGGGCCTCCTTCAGCGATGGTACTCGGACGTGCACCCAGCACGGCTGTCTGAACTCGCTGCTGCTTGTGCAAGAATATCGTACCGAGAAGTGGTTGTTGCAGGGGCGCTAGATGCTAAGCCGTCTGGAGCTGGAGGCCCGGCGCCGGAGCAGGGAGAGCACACCGTCAGCATCACAGTCGTCGGAGCCTCCGGGGATCTTGCCAAGAAGAAGATCTTCCCGGCGCTCTTCGCCTTGTTCTACGAGGACTGGCTCCCCGAGGTTTCAGTTAGCTTTGTGTGGTTCTTCTGTCTGGGCTTTGGAGCAATGCTAGTCATTTGTTTTAGTTAACCTCTGTCAATGCAGCATTTTACAATCTTTGGTTATGCTCGTAGCAAAATGAGCGATGAAGAGCTCAGGAACATGATTAGCATGACCCTAACCTGCCGGATTGATCAGAGGTACTGCTTACAAACCCTCATGCTTGGTCCCTATGCTATGCTGAGTCGTCTGTGTTGGTTTTACTTGTAATTATCTGAGTTTGCCCCTTGCACTGGGTGTCAACCTGCTTCAGTTATCTGATTTAAGAGCCAAATTTGGCAACGAAACTGTAGTATGTACAATGACATGGCACAATGTATCCTCAAATGTTTGTTTGATTTTGCATTAGGTCTATCTAGTTTATCCATAAAAAAAGGTGAACTCAATTTATGTTGTCCATTGTCGTAGAGCTTCATATATTCAGAGTGTAACACATCATATTCGAATGTCGAAACAGGGCGAACTGCAGTGAGAAGATGGATCAATTTCTGAAGAGATGCTTCTATCAGTCCGGACAGTACAACTCAGAGGAAGGATTTTGCGAATTGGATAGAAAGCTTACAGAAAAAGAGGTAATCCCGAATTCATAGTAGTTTTTCTAGCCCTTTACTATGAGATACCAAGTAGCTATTCGCAAAGTAAAAGAGATACCAAGTAATTGCACTGCAGAATTCATGGCAAATATTGCATAGAAAAAAGGAGTTGAGGCCAAATGTTTGTCATCAATCAGGCTGGAAAGCTACCAAACAGGCTGTTCTACTTGTCTATCCCACCAAATATATTCGTGGACGTGGTAAGATCCGCCAGCCGCACCGCTTCACTGCCGAGTGGGAGTGGCTGGACGAGGTTTATAGTGGAGAAGCCATTCGGCCGCGATTCTGAGTCCTCGGGGGAGCTTACCCGATCCCTGAAGATGTATTTAGAGGAGGAGCAAATCTTCAGGTAACATATAAATGCAGGGTGTTTTCAGCAATGAGAGCAATGTGCAATGAGAGCAACAGTTTCAGAGACTCCCCCTATTTCTTATCTAGTAGTAGAATTTAACAGTGGAATGTGACAGGATTGACCATTATCTGGGCAAGGAGCTGGTCGAAAACCTGTCGGTCCTCCGTTTCTCCAACCTTGTGTTCCAGCCACTGTGGTCGAGGGACTACATTCGGAATGTGCAGCTCATATTCTCCGAAGATTTCGGCACCGAGGGTCGAGGCCGGTCTGCGCTACTCCGGCGTCCAGTCGGATCTGATAAGAATGTTCATTCATTGGCCAATGGATTCAACAGGTAGATAATGGCTTCCTTGTTGGGTTGCATTGCAGCTACTTCGACAACTACGGGATCATCCGGGACATCATGCAGAACCACTTGCTGCAGATACTGGCCCTGTTCGCCATGGAGACTCCGGTCAGCCTCGCCGCCGAGGACATTCGCAACGAGAAGGTAGTAAAAGAACAAGCATGATTGACCAATTAAACGTATAGCCTGATCAAAAAAAATTGGGTGTTGTGCTTCTTCAGGTGAAAGTGTTGCGATCGATGAGGAAGCTGAAGGTGGAGGACGTGGTGGTGGGGCAGTACAAGGGCCACACGCGGGGCGAGAAGTCGTTCCCGGCGTACGTGGACGACCCGACGGTGCCCAACGACAGCGTGACCCCGACGTTCGCGGCGGCGGCGCTCTTCATCGACAACGCGCGGTGGGATGGGGTGCCGTTCCTGATGAAGGCCGGCAAGGCGCTGCACACGCGGCGGGCGGAGATCAGGGTGCAGTTCCGGCGCGTGCCCGGGAACCTGTACCGGGGGAGCGTGGGCGCGGACCTGGACATGGCCACCAACGAGCTGGTGCTCCGGGTGCAGCCCGACGAGGCCATCTACCTCAAGATCAACAACAAGGTGCCCGGGCTCGGGATGAGGCTCGACAGCGGCAACCTCAACCTCTTCTACTCGGAGCGGTACCAGCGGGAGATACCGGACGCGTACGAGCGGCTCCTCCTGGACGCCATGGAGGGGGAGCGCCGGCTCTTCATCCGGAGCGACGAGCTCGACGCGGCCTGGGCCATCTTCACGCCCGTGCTCAGGGAGCTGGAGGACAAGAGGGTGGCGCCGGAGCTCTACCCGTACGGCAGCCGGGGCCCCGTCGGCGCGCACTACCTCGCCGCCAACTACAACGTCAGGTGGGGGGACATCAGCAGCGACGGATCCTTCTAGCTAGCAAGTTCTGCCTATCTGCTAAGGCGCCGGTTAGCTTAATTGATTACAAGTTTACTTGCAGTTTCAGACTCAATCAAGCTGTGAAGAACATGAGAAGCTCATATTGCAATCGTTTTGTCTTCTGCCTAATCGTACTTGCATTTTCCTTACTTTTGCAAGTCGGGTGTGCACGGTTTTACACCTCTCGGCTAGCTTAGCTTATACGGTGTAAGTCGAGATCCTATTCACAGGCACTCGACTTAACTATAAGCCGAAATCAAAACAGTGGCTCTCAGCGACATAAAGTGACATGACGGCCGGCTGACGCTGACAGAGGTGTCACGGGCACGAGCGTACCACTCAGGTTAACTTTCCAACCTGGGACGTCATGTGTGTCATGTAAGAGCATCATCAGCAGATCCCTTAAACCGTGGTAGATCTCTTAAACCACGGTTTGTTTTAGAGTTGGTTTAAGTTGCGGCCGAATAAACCCTTTAAAATTAATAAAACCAAATATCGCTTACATTTTTTCCCACGTCTTTTTTTTTTCGCCCGTGTCCACGATCAGCTAGCTCGCTTCTACAAAACCGATGAACAGTATACAAAGCGGCCAAATACGAAGCCGCCAGCGTCCAACTAGCTCGAAGTGGCCAAATACGAAGCCACCGGCAGCCAAATACGAAGCCGCCGACGTCCAACTAGCTCGAAGTGGCCAAATACAAAGCCGCCGGCGGCCAAATACAGCGCACGAAACTCGAATCAATCCAGGACCTAGATAGCTAGCTAGCTCCTCCGTCCGCCGAATCGATTCGAGCGAGCAAGCTAGCTCCTCCGCCAGAAGAGAGCGGGCGTGGCGGCCGGGTCGGACGGCCGGCGGGCCCGGGGGCCGAGAGCCGAGACGGGTGGACGGGAGCGAGTCATGAAGGTTCTGATGGCAGTTATCTTTTGCATGTACAAACATCTTTGGATTGGCTTCGAAATCCTTATTTTTACATGTTCGGTGAGGATGTTTTCCACGCCCTTAAAAACATTTACAGGTCAGAGTCATTTACGGGTTTTATTTGGATCGTTCTTTCCACCTAAAATTGTAAACCGACGGTTATTTTACAATTTAACGGGTTTGCTAAAGATGCTCTAACCCGAGTACCATAGGACACCCAAGGTGCGTTTTAACGGGTCTGTATACGTAAGCCGAGAGCCTCGTCGGCTTCTTGGCTTGTAGGTAAGTGCAGTCACGTGGCTGTTGTAAGCCGAGCATTGTTTGGTAAATACACGACATATATGTAAGTTATGATTATGATTAATACATGGTGTACGCGTAAGTGAGTACTTTACTAAATATTTTTGGCTTACAGAAAAATCGGGTAGTGCCATTTGGTCCCGAGAGCTCCTAGGGCCTGCCACGTGGTATGAAAACCAAGTGTTTCCCAAGTGCACTCGGTAAGACCAGTGTTGTTCTTGGTTTGCCCATATTGCATTTTTTTGGTTGCTTGTTCGAACAACCCCGCAATTCAAGTAACAAAATACATACAGCTATATCCAACAGCTCAGCAAGTTCACAACCATATATATAGGACAGTACAACCATATGAAACCAAGCAGGCATACATAGGATGAAAGATGCAATATATAGTTCATAAGCATATATAGTTCCAATTTCACAACCATATATAGTTCACACATGCATACATCTCCACCAAGTTCACAACCAAAAGCATGCATACATCTCCAACAAGTTTCAAGTTCACACCAAGCATAAGTTCGAAGTTCACAACCAAATCAACTTAGGACGATATATGCAATGTGCTCAACCGTTGAGAATATAGCATGCATGCCCACCGTCGACGACATCAGCGAGGCAACCTACAAGTTCACTACCACAAGCATGAGTCTTCAAGTTGAAAATGCAAAGGATTGATAACGTTGAAAGTTTAAGAAGTATGAAATAGAAGCACCACTACTTGTGTGCTCTATCATCCCTAATAAACAAATACACCTTACATCGATAAGGAAAAATCATTAATTCGGTGCCAAAGCCGGTTGTTGTTTTGTGCATATTTTTAGTTTTACATAAAATGGATATCTCTGAACCTCAAAATACCTTGGGGATTTTTGATGATTTTTTCGTAAGGAGAAAGTTCTAGAAAGCACTACAAGGTGCTGGGGCCACCTAGGGCCTGGTGGGCCAACTTGGCACCCCTCTGCATCACCTTTCGCTCATCTTTTGCCTATAAATCACATATCTTCCGAGACCCTTCGTACTTTTTTTCGTGATTTTTTTTCACCGCAGCAAGTTCCTGTTCCGAGGAGATCCAATATGAAGTCCTATTCCAGTGTGCTGCCAGAGGGGGGATCCATCATTGGAGCCATCTTTATGAACCTTGCTGCCACCATGTCCATATCCATTATCAACGAAGCCAAATTGCGAAGGGGTTTCAAGTCCAGACGCCTGAGAAAACTGCACTATCTATCAGGGTTTCGGCGACGAATTACCTAAGATCAATCATACCCGAAGGTCCAATTAGGAAGAGTGATCACACGTGGAAAAAGCCAAGTCATGGGATGAAGATAAACGTTGATGCCTCCTTTTAGTATGAAACACTCTCTGGTGCCCGTGGTGCTGTGGCTCGTGATGACCGGGGTGATTTTATAGCAGTAGCAAGTTGGTTTATGCCCAATATCCATGATGTGGATTCAGCTAAGCTAATGGCAATAAGAAATAGACTGTACTTGGCGGGCCATATCGGCTGTAAAGATGGAAGTTGTGTCTAATTGTTCCTTTGTCGTTGATTATCAACCAGATTGAGGACTATTAGGCCCTGAGATAGCAACTATCACAGAGTGCAAACAACTGATTGTAGACTTTGCAAAGATATCCTTCAAACACTGTCTTCGGGAGGCAAATCAAGTAGCAGATGAAATAGCCAAATTTAACGTGTCATCAGCTAACTTATGAATTTCAACAACCACTTTCTAAGCACCAATCAAGAATTTTCCAAGCCCTGCAAATTAAACATGGCATCATTGTCAAAATTCAAAGTTACCGGCCGGTAAACATGAATCCACTGTGTTTGGCCAATACTCTTTGAACTCCCAATTCCTTATGAGATGTCAAGGCACGCAGGCCAAAGCACAAAATGTACCTCCCCTGCCCTAAGCTCCCCAATACTTCATACAGGAACGAATGAAGGTCGGCGGGTCTAGAATCTATACGGCACTCATGGATGTACACTTAGCATCTGAAAGATCGTGGATGTCGCCTAGAGGGGGGGTGAATAGGCGTTTTAAAATAATTATGATTTAGGCTTGAACAAATGCGGAATAAACCTAGCGGTTAATTTGTCAAGCACAAAACCTAAAACAACTAGGCTCACCTATGTGCACCAACAACTTATGCTAAGCAAGATAAACAACTATGTGATAGCAAGATATATGACAAGAAACAATATGGCTATCACAAAGTAAAGTGCATAAGTAAAGAGCTCGGGTAAGAGATAACCGAGGCACGCGGAGACGACGATGTATCCCGAAGTTCACACTCTTGCGGATGCTAATCTCCATTTGGAGCGGTGTGGAGGCACAATGCTCCCCAAGAAGCCACTAGGTCCACCGTAATCTCCTCACGCCCTCGCACAATGCAAGATGTCGTGATTCCACTAAGGTACCCTTGAGGACGGTCACCGAACCCGTACAAATGGCAACCCTTGGGGGCGGTCACCGAACCCGTACACTTTGGCAACCCTTGGGGGCGGTCACCGGTACCCGTCAAATTGCTCGGGGCGATCTCCACAACCTAATTGGAGACCCCGAAGCTTGCCCGGAGCTTTACACCATAATGAGTGAGCTCCGAACACCACCAACCGTCTAGGGCGCCCAAGCACCCAAGAGGAACAAGCTCAAGGGTACCAAGCACCCAAGAGTAATAAGCTTCTCAACTTGTAAATTCCACGTATCATCGTGGAGAACTCAAACCGATGCACCAAATGCAATGGCAAGGGCACACGGAGTGCCCAAGTCCTTCTCTCTCAAATCCCACGGAAGCAACTAGTGCTAGGGAGGAAAATGAGAGGAAGAACAAGAAGGAGAACACCAAGAACTCCAAGATCTAGATCCAAGGGGTTCCCCTCACAAAGAGGAGAAAGTGATTGGTGGAAACGTGGATCTAGATCTCCTCTCTCTTTTCCCTCAAGAACTAGCAAGAATCATTGGAGGGATTGAGAGTTAGAAAGCTCGAAGAAGGTCAACAATGGGGGAAGAACACGAGCTAAAAGGATAAGGTCCATTGGGGAAGAAGACCCCCTTTTATAGGTGGGGAAAAATCCAACCGTTACCCACCAACCAGCCCGCGGCCAGCGGTACTACCGCGCCTGGCCAGCGGTACTACCGCAAGGCCGCGCGGTACTACTGCTTGCAACCAAGCGGTACTACCGCACGGCTGTGCGGTACTACCGTACCGACCCACGGTACTGCCGCAACCCCAGCACAGAACCGATAAACAGACGCACAGGAGCTGGGGGCGGAACTTCCGCACGCGCGGTACTACCATGCCCCCCATGCGGTACTACCGCGAGGCAAAAGTCCCAGCCAGGGGAAAAGGGAAACTTCCGTGCCTACTTCCGCAAAGAAACGGAAGTAGCAAAAACCCGACACAGTAGTACTGCCGAGGGGCGGTACTACCACCTGACCGCATAGTGCGGTACTACCGCACGGCGAAAGCGGTACTACCGCGGTAGGTGCGGATGTAAAAAATTGCATCCGCTCCTACTACCGCAAAGGGGCGGCACTAGCCTGGTGGGCAGCGGTAGTGCGGCTCCAGGGGAGCGGTACTACCGTGCCACTGCACGGTACTACTGCTGATGCCTACGGTACTACCGCTTTCCTGGGAGCAGTACTACCGCAACCAACAACGGCAGCCACACAAGGGAGGCAAGAAAACGGAGGAAGCTCCAAGGAAGAAGGAGGGGAAAAGAAGGAGACGTGTACGTGATGAATCCACCCAAACCTTTCCAACGCGGACC